TGTCTGTGTTCTCTCTCTCTCTCTCTCTCTCTCTCTCTCTCTCTCTCTCTCTCTCTCTCCTCTTGTATTCCTGCATGAGTGGATGCAAAGTACACATGTTGCTGTTGCTTGGGAAGCCAGACTCCGCTTCTTTTGACTAAAGCCCCAGAACTCACCCGCGTTAAAGCACAGTGCCCCCTGCTTTGTCCACGGACCCTCCAACCCCTGGCTGCCGAATTGTTGTTGTTTATTTTCCTTGGGGGAGGAGGGCAATGTGCGGAAGGTTCGCACGACCAAAATCCTGACTTGTTCCACTTTGACTCCCCAGGTGAGATTTGTGGCTTTAAAATTCACGGGCAGAATGTCCCCTTTGATGCAGTGGTAGTGGATAAATCCACTGGTGAGGGGCTAATTCGCTCCAAAGAGAAACTGGACTGCGAGCTGCAGAAAGACTACACATTCACCATCCAGGCCTATGACTGTGGAAAGGGTCCCGACGGCACCGGCGTGAAGAAATCTCATAAGTAAGTAGGCAGGGCAAGGGACAGGAGGAGGGGTGTGTGTGTGCGAGGAAAGGGAGGGACAGGGACCAGTGCCCGTGCCCCCAGACTGTTTGAAATTCCAGGGGTAAGAGTTCTGTTCTGGGTCCGGGGTGACAGGCTTTGGGAAAGGAATGAATGGTTTCACCCTACCATACTCCATTCAAGAAACAGGCCCTCCCGACACCGAACATTTCCCAAAGCCCATCTTCCTCTGAGGAAGGGCATCTGGTGCTGTGCTTGTGTTTTCCTGCAAACCTGAGGGTGGGAGGTTGAGTGCCTGCTTGGGGAGGCGGTAGGGCCACCTCCACTGTCCCGCTCCCGATGTAGATGGAGAACTCCGGTCTTCCTCTGCCACTTGGCAGCCCTTCACATGAAGCGGTGTAACGTCCTGTGTGTTCTCAGCATGTCTGCTGCTGAGTTGCCGTCACACACCCATGGCGAGGGGTGCCGATGATGCCCTCTGGATGGTGGGTCTTTGTGCACGGTGGGGTGCACTTGCTGGCCAGGCGCCCCACTCTACACAGCTGGCATTGCAGTTTCCCTTGCAAAAGGCCGCGTTTTGCCCAAATGCCTTGTCCGACTCAGAAATAGACCAATGGGCAGCCCTTGAAACCTACAGCTTTCTTCACGAGGGGCCTGATTTTCTTGGTAGCCACTTGTGAGGTACAGGTGGCAGCAGGGCCACCCTTCCTGAGCCTTGGTCCAGATGACCTCCCGGAGGCCACCCTTGCTTTCAGGCTGCACCCCACTCCTCCTAGGCCGGAATTTGTTTTTAACTCTTATCATCAAACCTTACCAGGCATACTCATTTTCTTACCTTTTTTTCCTTGGCCCTAATTCTTTTCTCCCTGGATTTTGTAATAAAAATGTCTTTTATCTTTGTGATGAAAACAGACAGGTACCTGATACAGATAGGTGTCTGCTAAATGTCTCCCGTCATGTTCTGGCCCACATTGTCAGAGAAAAATCTAGAGTGGCTGTCTGTCCCCCTCTCTCTAGCTGTACAAGGGGTTGAACCCTCAGCCTTATACATGCTAGGCAAAAAACCAAAACAAAACTCTAGCACTGAGTTACATCCCCAGCCCCAGGTCTCTTTTCCTGTTTATTATTGATTTTTAAACTCAGCTGCCTTACCTTCAGGACATGGAAGAATCAGTGCAGATTCCTATTTCAATTTTAATTTTTTGTTTTGCCCATGCTGAATTGAAAGCAATGAAGCTTTTTTGTTGTTGTTGTTGTTGTTGTTTTGTCTTGATCATATGAATTTCATGAAACAAGGTAGCAGGAAAAAAATGAATTAAAAAATAGGGCAGAATTGGTATCCTTTGGGTGGAAAACAGCAAAAGCCCCCAAAATAGCCATGTCCCCTCTTTGTCCAGATCAACTGTCCACATCCAGGTGAATGATGTGAACGAGTATGCGCCAGTGTTCAAGGAGAAGTCCTACAAGGCGACGGTCACCGAGGGGAGGCAACACGACAGCATCCTGAGGGTGGAGGCCGTGGACGCAGACTGCTCCCCTCAGTTCAGCCAGATCTGCAGCTATGAGATCGTGACTCCCGGCGTGCCTTTCGCCGTGGACAAAGACGGTAAGAGCAGGGGCCTGCGCCAGGCACCGGGGACGGCCTGGCACTGCAGATCTCTGTCTTCACGCTGTCCCGACAGCTTCTCAGGGGCTGGCAACCTTGTGTCTGCCGGGTCTCCCCTTTCTCCTTTCCTACCTGTAGCAAATAAAACCTTTGCTCCATCTGCTGCCATCTCTTCCCTTCTACCCTCTCCATCCACAGGCCTTAGAGTGAGCCTTTTCTGTTCCATTGTGTGCAATTAGCACTTTCCTCTGCCTGATCCCCCCCCACACAGGGCAGGGGGAGCAGCCCATGGCCCCCACATACTGGCAGTACTCTGCTCTGAGCTGTACCTCCAGCCCCTGCCTCCTTGTGAATGGGGATCCATACTGTGTTACTCTACCAGGCCCACTCTGGCCTTAGTAACTGAACCAGAAGCAGCTTTCTGGAACTGGACCTCCTTCCGAGGAGCGTGTCTT